TGCAGACCCGATTTGGTTATTTGTTTTAATGTCATATTCTGCCTTTCAATTGTATTTATGTACTTTTTTATTTCCAAGAGGAAGGGAGAGAGAGAGAGAGAGAAACATCAACGAGGAGAGAGGATCCTGGATCGGCAGCCTCCTGCACGCCAGCCGGGCTGTTCATTATTCACTTTATTGTCGCGATGACCCGGGCCACGGCTGGGCCCCGGCCACCCTCTCCCTTCCGCACCTTTTCCCCGATCAGTAGCACCACCCAGCCTCCGAGTTCCAAAAACTGAGTTATTTACTCATTCAGCGGGTTTGTGGCCTCGATCGGGAGGCCGGCTGGGAAAATCGTGATGCGCAGGGGGGGCCGTGGGAGCCCGTCCTTAGGTCCCATCCTTGTCCCTAGAGGAGGACTCCCTGCCACTTCCTGTCTCCCACTGTTCTCGACTGTAAAATACAGGAAGTTGTGTGTTTTTTTCCCCTTCAAATCGCAGACTCCCTGGGCGTGTCTGTGTTGTCGTCCTGGGAGGGGACTCACTGTAGTCTGGCCGCCTTCCCGTGCCGGCCTCTTCCCTGTCCGCCGCCCCCCAGGGCCCTCTGCACGTGGGAATCTCCGCTCTCGGTCCCACACGCCCGGCGTGGCCCCCGCACACGGAGCTCCGCACTTTCACCCACGTGCGCGGGTCTCATGCCTGCCCCTGGCCTTGTCCCGTGATGGACTCTTGGGTCATAATCCCAGAACAGTAACAAGTTAGGCCACCGTGAAGGTATGTTGCCAAGAAAACAAAAATCTTAAATTTCAACTTGATAGCATAACAAGATACTGTGGGAATTAAGGCGATTGTGTTAGATTAGAAAGAGCCTAAAAGATGATATGAAAGTATTTTTAGCCCGGCCGGCGTGGCTCAGAGGTTGAGCGTCGACCTATGAACCAGGAGGTCAGGGTTCGATTCCCGGTCAGGGTACAGGCCCGGGTTGCGGGCTCCATCCCCAGTGTGGGGCGTGCAGGAGGCGACTGATCCATGATTCACTCTCACCATGGATGTTTCTCTCTCTCTCCCTCTCTCTAAAATCAATAAAATACATATATTTTTAAAAGCAGGGATCGTCTCTTCATGGTACCGTATGTTAATATGTTGATTAATTACCTCATTGTAGTGGCTGCATCAGTCATACCAATTCCAGACGAGAGGGTTTAAGGAAAGAATTAAAATAACTTTGAAAACCCGCGTCAGCTGTCTGACGAGTTGGTGGACTTGCGTGAATGAGCTGTTATCATCCCACAAAGACAGCAGCCTCACTGTCCGACCAGGTGTTTGCAGGATGGGCTGCTGGCGCCTGATCGCGGGGCTTTACGGTTCCTTCCTCGCAGGCGTTACTGCGTCCCTGACAGGACCGCAGATTTGAGAGCTGGGCGATGAGGTCACTATCAAGACGGCGGCCTGGGGTCCTCCTCGACGGAGGTGGGAGCCTGAGCAGTTTCTCTCTCTGCCTGGCGGCTCGGCTCCCGCCCGGACACGCCCAGCCTGTGGGGCTGGCACAGCTCCTGCACAACTTCTCACCACTTCCAGCGGATCCATAATTCAGAGCGAGAGAAGGCCCGGTGTCACAGAGCTAGCCGACGCCTTCGGGGGCCCGGCCGGCGTGGCTCAGCGGTTGAGCATCGACCTAGGAACCAGGAGGTCATGGTTTGATTCCCGGTCAGGGCACAGGCCCGGGTTGCAGGATCGATCCCCAGTGTGGGGCGTGCGGGAGGCAGCCGATCCGTGATGCTCTCTCATCATGGATGTTTTTCTCTCTCCTGCTCTGAAATCAATAAAATATATTTTTTAAAAATGCAAAGGCTTATGTGCTTGCTACGGAAAGTGGGGGTTGCTGCTGGGGTTCCTTTGAGGCTAGCCTTGGGAAAAAACGATTTCTAAAAGGAACAGTCTCTAGCCGAGCCACGGGGAGGAAGAGAAAGGTGCGGGGAGAAGTGTGGGGCACGGGGAGGGCTCCCGCCTGGACCCTGAGGGCCCGTCCCGTGGTCCACGGCACCCAGCCACTGGGGGGTTAATGCAGGGTTTTCTGATCCTGATGAGCACGTCCTCCTAACTGCTGCTCTGAAACTCAAATTATAGCTTTCCAGGAGGTTAAAAAAAAAGAAAAAGGGCAAGTGAATAAGCTGAGGTCTGCACAGGGATCGTATAACCGCCCTTCTGAAACCATGGCCTCGCTGTGGGGGTTTGGCCTTCCTCACGCCCCGTGTCCTCTCGCGCGCATCCACACGGGGCAGCTGGCACGGAGGGGCCCTGGTCGGCTGGCGATGTGCACGGGATACAGAACGCGTTCCCTGAAATGGTCGTGCCAAGTGTGTCCTCGTAGGTCGAGGACTCACAGAGACTGGTGGCGGGCACACTCTCCACCTAGCATGAGAGACGGTCTAGAGCAGCGGTTCTTAACCTGTGGGTCGCGACCCCTTTGGGGGTCGAATGACCCTTTCACAGGGGTCGCCTAAGACCATCGGAAAACACATCTATAATGACATATTGTTTTGGGGATTGATTGCTATGCTTTAATGATGTTCAATGTGTGACAATGAAATTGGGGGTCACCACAACATGAGGAACCGTATTAAAGGGTCGCGGCATCAGGAAGGTTGAGAACCACTGGTCTAGATGGATGTCAGGAATACGGAAAGTCCGCCCAGCCGCGTGGCTCCGTGGTCGAGCATCCACCTGTGAACCAGGAGGTCACGGTTCGATTCCCGGTCAGGGCACAGGCCCGGGTTGCAGGCTCCATCCCCAGTGGGGGGCGTGAAGGAGGCGGCAGACCAATGTTTCTCTCTCTATCCCTCTCCCTTCCTCTGTCTAAAAATCAATAAAATAAAGTAAATAATGAAATTTGCCCTGGCCTGTTTGGCTCAGTGGATAGAGCCTCAGCCTGTGGACTGAAGGGTCCTGGTTTTGATTCCAGTCCAGGGCACATGCCCGGGTTGCGGGCTGCATCCCCCAGCAGGCAGCCGGCCGGGCGATGTTTGATTTTTCTAGCTGGGAGGAGGTCATGTGCTTTAAGACAGGATATGAACTCAGTGGTTGAGAGTCGACCTAGGAACCAGGAGGTCACGGTTCCATTCCCGGTCAGGGCGCATGCCCGGGCTGCGGACTCCATCCGCCTCTAGGAGGCCTGCAGGAGGCAGCCGATCCATGATTCTCTCTCATCATTGCTCCTCTCTCTCTCATGCTTCTACCTCTCTCTCCCTTCCTCTCTGAAATCAATAAAAATACGCTAAAAACAACAAAACAAGGGTCCTCAAATGCTATCCCCCGTACACTCTGCCTCCACCGCGATGTCAGCTCCTACAGGTTTTCCAAGCCTCACCTACGGACGAGTAAGGAGTGGCTGCAGACGAATAGGTGTGAGCCCGGTTTCCAGGCATCTGAGAAGGACGGGCGTTAGTCTTTCTGTTCGTGTCTCAACAGCTCGCGTTATGACCGCATTTCCTGTTCCGAGACTGGGCTGAAGGCAGCTCAGAATGGCCATGCAGGACAAGTGTGAATTCCACGGGCGCTGGGCGACTGAGTCACGCCGCACCTTTCCTGCCCCGCCCTGCCCTGCCGAGTCCCGCGGGCTAGGCGTGTGTCACTAACGCCATCTGCCCATCCTCGGTTCCCACCTGAGTTAGCTCCTACAGGTGAGGCTTCCGCCAGCCGCCACGCAGAGGCCATCATCGCACCGTGTTGGTGGGGAGACAGAGCAGCGGGGGGGTTAATTGGACTGTGCTCTGAGGAGTCCTAATTGGGGACCTGAATTTGAGCTTTTTTAAAACAAACAAACAAACAAACATGCCCTGGCCGGTTTGGCTCAGTGGATAGAGTGTTGGCCTGTGGACTCAAGGGTCCCGGGTTCGATTCCGGCCAAGGGCATATGCAAGGGGGTAGCAGGCTCGATCCCCAGTAGGGGGCGGGCAGGAGGCAGCCGATCCATGATTCTCTCTCATCATGGATGATTCTATACCTCTCTCCCTCTCCGCTCCAATCTCTAAAATCAATAAAATTATATTAAAAAATAAAATAAGCAAACACATATTTTTATTGATTACAGAGAGGAAGGGAGAGGGACAGAGCGATCAAAACATCCATGATGAGAGAGAATCATGGATCGGCTGCCTCTAGCATGAGCAGGACCCCCACTGGGGTTTGAGCCCACAACTTGGGGGGAATCGAACCCTGACCTCCTGGTTCATAGGCCGACACTCAGCCACTGGGCCCAGCTATGCCATTGGAGCAATATACTTGCAGAGCCATCAGCACCACCCCCTCTCATATCTCCCCCCATCGCTTCTGCACCCAGAGCGGCTGGGGGCGCGTGGCCCCAGAGCCGGCCCATCAGAGCACCGTCAGCCCGGAGGGACCAAGCACCGAGACTGTTATTTTCTCTCCGGTGTCGGGTGGGTGTGGCCGTGGCAGAAACACGCCACATGAAACAGCCTCGATTTAATTTTAGAGCCATGCTGGCCAGCCCCCAGCAGCAGAAACCGCGTCCAGGCCGCCGGGGGACTGCGATCCCCGCCCCCCCATCCCGTCCCCGCCCCTTCCGTCGTCTTTCAGGACCGGCCGATGCTTTTTCGCCAACCCCGGCCCACGCGATCACGTCAGTTCTTCCAAGAGGATGCCCACGCCCGCCCCTCCCTGCAGAGACAGCCTCCCAGCCCAGATCCGGCTCCCGGCTTTCCCTCCAGCGGGGAGCCGGGAAGAGGCGGGGACAGCGCATGTAACCCCGCCCCCGGAGCTAACCACGCCCCTTCACCCGCTAGGCCCCTCCCACCAGAGCTCCGCCCCCCCTTGGCACCCCCTTCCCCGAGGCTC